CGTTTGCTTGGCTGATGTTCAGCACCTGCTCAGACCTCTCATTTGCATCACTAAAACTGGAAAGGGTTGTCAATCTGCCTGCTCTCTTGTCTAGATGATTTTGTTTAGTAACGTAAAAAAACAATAAACAAGTGAAAGTTTGGGTGATTCATTTGCTGGTTCATTTAATGGACACCTAAGCAGTTGGCAAACTTTTTTCCTCTCTTGCCCACCTCCTGGAACTTCAATTCATGGCACCCAGATCAAAGGTTTTAAAAATTGTTATGAAAATGGTATCTTCTGATTTGGAAATTATGTTTCCAAATGCAAAATTGAACATGGGAGCTGGAATTTACAGCTCACCTGTTTCACTTGCCCTGCTTGGAGGAAATGCAGAAGTTAAGTCAGTTTGGAGTTAAGTGCTTACTTTCTTTGCAGAGCTGTTAGAGAAGAGGCATCACTGGCTGTCTGTGTGAGTTTCTGCTTGATTTTAATTGAAGATGTTTACCTTTTCTACTGGTAATTGACTGGAAGAAGCATTAAATCCAGTGCCTAGTATTTCCCATTCAGATTTGAAGACTAATGAGCAGTTTTATTGCCCATACTGATTGAATGGAAATGTGCTGACCAGTTGTTTTATTGGCACTGAAGAGTGTTTCTTTATTTTTTCAATGGTGTAATAAAACCTGATTTCCTCACTTCGTAGTACTAAGTGCTTGAAAATTTCTCTTTTTATCAGGCAGCTGGCTCTGTTTGTCAGGTAGTATTGCTCAGTGCTATGCTGAGGCTAAAATCTTGTTTTACATTGAGCCTGGAAGATGAATTAACCTGTTTGTACAAGCACTTTGAATTAGCTGGGAGCTGTTAAGGAAATTTGAATCGTCTGGTGAGTGTTGACTATGCTGAGACTTCCAGACCTTAAAGTTTAGAACCTTTTTGTTTCTTATCAGATACTTATTTTGCATCCTTTGCCCACTTACAAGCCACAGAAGCAGTTGTGAAGAAAAGTTTTGTTGTAGAGAACAGTACCTTTTGAAAATCATCATCACAACAAGCTGTGGTTTGTCTGTCATTCCAGCTGTACCTTCAATAAAAGCATTTAGATGTTAAACAAAACAAGCCAAAATCGCATCACAGGAAGATATCTTTGCTTTATCTTACTATGCAAATGTTTTGTTTGCATAAGATTATCGAAATAATTTCATGTAAATAGTCTCATAAAAATTAAGTTTACAAAAACTGTTTGGGAAAGTATTTTCTACCCTTGTAGCCAAGAATTTTTCAAATTAACTGAAATAGAAAGCAAAAATTGTATTTAAAGAATTATTATTTCCAGTTACCTGGAGACAGAGTATGTTTTCCTTCTGCTGTGGCAACAAGAATATGTGAAGTACAGTACCCCAATAACTTGGAGTTCTGCCATGAAATAGATGAAGAACTACAAGCCCAGTATGAGGGTGCTGGGTGCTGTCTTCATCACTGTGTGCAGCTTTCAGTCTGAATTGTAAAATAATTTTGACTGTCTTCCCTCAGCTCTGACCCACACAGCTAATGGAAAGTGGCTTTAAGATATATAAAGATCATCATACGTGTTAAATTCAGTGTTGAGGGAGATTGCTGCATTAGAAAGAGAGTTGTCAGCAGCAGTAAGAGAATACTTCTGTATTTTGAAAATGCTTGCATCCTCTTCAGGCTTCCTGTTCAATCCTGTAATTCGTTCCTTGGTTGTCTAATCTCTGACATGAGTCAGCTCCAATTTTCTTTGTTTTGAGATTTTTCACATTTGTTTTAGATCATTTTCCAAGTCCTCATTAAGTACTCCTTTCTTTGGCTGGTTTTTATCATGTTTTGAGGTTGCAGGCATGTATTTTGCATTGATTTGTAGCTGTTACTTGTTGAATTCAGTTGTTAGATTTGGGATGGCTGACATATCTTAGAGACAGTTTGTTTCTAAGGTAGGTATTTAAGGGCTGAGGAGTGCAAAAGGATGAAAATAGTCAGTTCCCTTCTGTCCTTGGTGGTAGGTGTGTGGAATGGTAAACTTTATACAACAGCTTGGGTTTGCAGAGCCTGGCCTGGCCCAGCTGTGTGCCAGCCCAACATCCTCAACCCTTACAAACTTGTGCACTGCACTCCCAGTTGGATCTGCTGAAACTTCCTCCATTTCTCTCCTTCATTGTGATGGAAATAATTCAAAGTCCAAGTCTATCTGTTATTCTAGATAAATGCATGTGTAAAGATATATAATGTGTTATATAGAAGCAATAACCAAAATGGGGTATTTATCACACTAAAAATGTGGCTTTAAGAGTGATAAAAGGCATCAATTGAAAACACACGTGGTATCTTTTGTGTCTAGAAATAAACAGCACAGTATTTAACCCACTGGAATGCACTGTAACTTGCAATGTATACACTGGAATGTAAAAGAAAGTATTGCTTGGTGCTGGTTGAAGAAGGGGAAATGCAGAACTTCCTCAGGTCTTTTCCATAGCTCAGATACTTTCATCTAAAACAAATAAACAAATAAAAAGTGTTTATGAGACAGTCTTTCACAGAAAATACAACAAGATTTTTTTTTCCTTAAATCTTTGGTTGTGTTTAACAGTTTTTCATCTAAAACAAATAAACAAATAAAAAGTGTTTATGAGACAGTCTTTCACAGAAAATACAACAAGATTTTTTTTCCTTAAATCGAGGGAAGGACCATTGTAAACTGTGTAAAAGACAGCCCCTAATAAGTGACCCACACTGCTTTTCTAGGAGTCTAGAAGGATGACAGAGCAGTATCTCCTCTGATTAGCTCTGGGGGTACCTGTGTGCAGCCGTCAGGTGTTTGGAACTGGAGCGTGTCCTCTGTCCCTGTTGTCTGGCAGCCTTTTGGAGCCGCAGTGTCTGCCTGGCAAATGTCACTGCGTCTGACTGATGGCTCTGAGAGCCGCACAGAGGAGCAGAGCAGCTGGCTAAAGCCTAACAAACTCCTGTTCTGTGTCTAGTAGCAGGTTTTACCTGTCTTAAAGCTGTTTCCAGTTGTTTGGATACCTTTGTTCCTCAAAAAATGCCTGTTCAGGTCAAGCACATAGAATTTTAATTCTGTCTGCTGCCTTTTTAGTAGGTCTCAAATCTTGATGTCAAGAGAAGGCTTTTTCTTCTGGTCTTGTTGCAACTAATAATTCCCCCCAGACCCCCTCTCTATTGGCTCCTGGTTTTTTCTGGGTTTTTTGTTTTGGTTTTTTTTTTTTTGTCCTCTTCTGCCTTTATCGTGGACTTCCCCCACAGAGGTTTGCAATAACAAATAGAAAAAGTCCTAACAAAAAGAAAATTTCCTCCAGGGCCTTACTCTTCAAGGATCTCTTAGTGTGTCAGAATTGATCCTACTTAGTGCATGCATATGTGCAGACATGGTTACTTAGTTCCTGGTTTTGGCAGAAAAGAGAGAGCACTGTACTCCAGGACATAAATATTATGTATTCGTTTGAATTCAAATTTCATTGTGTCAAAATCTTTCCAATACAGCGATCAGCAAACATTTGTATTTAGTGTTGCTTTTTTTACTGTGCTGCAGAAGCAAAGTTAAATACAGCTTCCTATATCCTTGCATTAAAAATTTGCATGGCCTCTTGTATCAGCCTTTCTCCAAATACCATACAGTTTAGGAAATTGTTTAAACCTAAAAGTATCTCAAGAGTAGAGCTACTTTCTTGTTATTTCAAGATGAAGTAGCAGAAGCAAATTTCATCTGCTAGCAACCCTAGTGTTGCCATTTCTCGACTGTCAAATACTTTGCTGTGCAAATATCACTGTTATGGACATTGTACAAAACATGCTTGAGATAAATCATGTATGTTACAATACACAAGGCTTAATGGATTGCTTTTCCATTGCTCATTTTAAAATTAAACCCACCAGCTTCCTGTTTTTCTTGTCCTGAAGTCCTGTCTATCTGAGCTCTTAAAATTTCTAAAATAGCCTGTCAAAAAAAGGAATTCACTAAAGTGACTAAAAAGTGACTTCTGCTTAACCTTTGGTTTTATAAACAATTGGCTGAGTCCTAAATAGATGAAAACAGTCTATTTTTAGGCCCTAATTTTGAGAATTGATATTTCCACATTTGCTTTGTCATAGCTGGTAGTAGTTGCTAAATTGTGAAAGCTTGTAGCTATTACAAATGCTTGGAGGATTGCTGAGTGTTCTGCCATAATGCACTAAGAAGCTCAGTGTACTGTACATTTCAATTTATAATAAGACAGTATAGCTGATAGCACAGACACTGAAATATTTCAAGTCTAGACTATGCCTTAAGAAACACAGGCTATTGGCTTTTTGGTGCAGCAAGTTGGAAAATAACTGATAAGGGCAGTTGAAGTACAGCAGACTTCAAAAAGTGATGAGTTCTCTAAGCCAGGGTGGGTTGGGAGGGTTCAGCCACTGCTTGCCTGCCTTGTTGGGATGAAAAGGGAACTGCTGTTTGAAAGGGCTGGTCAGTCTTGCCAGGTTTGAGTGGTTTGTGAGGGAGGTCACACATAGATGGGGAAGATGAGTTTCTGCAACACTGTGTTTAGTAAGAAGAAATGAAATGGAGAAATAGAAGAGCAAAGTTTCCTGTCTTTAGAACATGGTAACATGAGTATTTCTCCACAGAAAAAGATAATGGCCAAAAAGTTTAATGTCACTGGTGTTCTCTTAATAGCCCTTTTGTACCTTTGGATAAATAAAAATAGCTTGCTGAAGGTTTTGAGTGGAACTACATATCGTAGTAATGGGAGAAAATTATGAGGTAGCTGATACTTTTATGGCCCCTTTAATATCCCAATTCACGTTACAAATCACTGTGTTTATAAAGTCCTTCTCTTACTGCTGCCGGGGAAGAAGAACATTTTGGTTGTGTTTACTGTTGTCCTGTGTTGTTAGCTGTGGAAAAAAGGAGGAATATTACCTCAGACCGGGCTTGTGGACATGAAGAATTACATAATTTCTTTCAGTTTGTCTCTCTCTAACATAATGCCAACCCTGTTTTTCAGAGCCATGGTGTCATGGAAGGGGATGTACTTTGCACTTGCACTATTCTTGGGAAGTTTCTTTGGAAGTATATTCATGCTGGGCCCTTTTCTGCCTTTGATGTTTATCTCGCCAGCCTGGTACCGCTGGATCACCGACTGCATTGTGGCCACTTGGCTCACACTCCCTGTGGTAAGTGGCTCATAATCCAGGGCTGGGCAACTCTCCATAATCCCACAATTTAGCTTGCTCACTAGCACTTTGGATTTTATTTTAAGGTTTTTAAAGTTATTTATGCTTCTGTCTAAACAGGCCCTTGCACACTTACTGTCTGTGGAGACTTTGGGTTTAGCTCAGTGTTGTAAACTGTGTGCCTATTTGCAGTTCCCCTCTTCTTTCACAGTTTAATTTATAAATCAGCTAATGTTGTGTGTTCATTTTATGCTTGAAAAGGTCTTTTTTTGACCTTTTTGATCTTCTCCATCCAGTGTCAGTCAGATGCAGAGAAGAGTAGGTGAAACTTTAATAAACAGAAGGAAGTTTTTTTAAACTGTAAACTTCCTAAATGAGTTGTCTTGTACACTGTTTCTTTGAATTGTGCTCCAAGTGTTGTATTAGGAAAATTATCCACTGTCTGGTACATTGTTGTCAACCTTCACCATTCTGGTACTTAATCCTTGTAGAATTTAGCCCTTGTAGTTGAATTAGAGATAAATGTTTTCAGGGGAAAAAGAAGAGCTCCCCCTAGAAAGGATGTATTCCTCACGTATCATCAGCTTTACAGCTATATGAATCTGGAAATCAATAACAAAGCTCTTCCCTGAATTGTTCCAAAGGAAAGGAAATGTGAATGGGATCTGTCTCTTCTTCCGTTCTCTAAAAGCCAGGGAACGTTGTTCCTCTAGGCCATTAGAGATTTGTTTAACTTTTTCTGAAGTAAAATGCCATATTGGTGTGAGATGTATGTGTCTTGTGGCATAAAGGAAGTTCTGTTCTTACTGTAGATCAAATAGTTTCTGCTTTTGCTGTTTCTTCCTTGTGTGTTTTAAAGGGACCTCAGCTGTTTCTTATTTTAAAACTTTTGTCGTTTTTATCATTACTAAATGCAGTGAAATTAGGAGGGCTGATATAATCAACAGTAAAGGAAATAGATTATTTCTTGTCATGATGAAATTTAACTGGGAACTGGTACTGTCACAAAATAACTCTTTCTCTGTTTGTCTTCAATTTTTTTCATAATTTCAAACCCCCCAAAATCTAATACTAGTCTTTTCTTTGATTAGTTGCCTGGGCTTTATAATTTTGGCTTATTAAAACTAATTTGTGATAACTTTTTCAGTCTAGAAGTTTGATTTTTAGCCCACACTAGAGCTAGACCAAAATAATTTTAATATCTTTGTGAAAACAGTTCTGTCTTCTGAGAACCTTGGGGATTTAGGTTCAGGAAAGGAATCTCAAAAAGATTTTGTATCCAACCATTTTGAGGCTCAGACCTTGTCTGCCTTAGGTTTGTGTCCTTACGCTCACTGCATTCTTAGTCAGGAGAAGCAGGTTCTTGGTTTGTGTCTCCAGACAATAAAGTGCTCTTGTGCCAGTTGGACTCCAGCAGGGAAACTCTGACCCTGACCTCTGTGATGTAAGAAATTTTCACCTTCCTCACTCTGCTATCATATTTTATTTCCTTTCTAGGAGTCAGCAGGATGGGACAGTGAGATGGGTCTGAACTGTTTGAGTTTAGTTTGGCTTATATTAGGCATACACAGAACTGGCAGAAATATGAACAGAAGTTGTTTTACTTTCTAGAGCTCTGTTTAAATCCCCAGTGTTTGTTCTTTTGTGGTTTTTGGTGGGTTTTTTTGTGGTTTTTTGTTTTGGTTTGGGTGTTTTTTTTTTGGAGAAAGAATGGGGAAGAGAGGGTAAGGAGGTAATTTGAAGGCCTCTTTCTTATGGCATTTTGCTGGTTTCTTCTTCTGTGCTGACCAGGTTGGACAGTGTGCTGTCGCTTACCCTGACCTTAGGGGCAATAGATGTTTGTGCAGCCAATCTCTCCTTAGATTACCTATCAAGTTATAATCCATACTGAATCACTTATATTCCTACATTATAGTATTCCTGGAAAACCAGGGAAAGGTAAGTTTAATGCAGTGATGGGAATAGAGTGCTTTTTAAGAAGTGCTGCTTAATTGTTGCTTCCTTTTCCAATGAACAGCTATTACTGGACAAAAGCTGGCTGCTTTATTAGAAAACAGAAGTTTGTTTACCAGTTGTAATGTGAGCGAATAAGTGAAATGATATAATTCAAATTAATTTTTATTGCTAATGGGGTGATGTTTTTCTGCTGGGAGTAAAGCCATAATACTGAGATACTATTTCTAGGCCTTGCTGGAAATGGTGTGTGGTGCCAAGGTGGTTGTCACTGGAGATGGATTTGTTCCTGGAGAAAGGAGTGTCATTATCATGAACCATCGCACACGAATGGACTGGATGTTCCTGTGGAACTGCCTGCTGCGATACAGCTACCTCAGACTTGAAAAAATCTGTCTCAAATCCAGTCTCAAAAGCATTCCGGGATTTGGTATGTCACTAAACCCTTTAATTTGAAAGAAAAGTATGTTTAAATTATGTCCAGCACAGTTCATAACCCGCTAAATGACATAGGTTTAAATTCTGTTTCAGGATTTAAAAAAAAACTTGTGTAAAATATGTGGCATGTGGAGCGATTAAACTGTAAATCTCCAGAGGACACCTGGACCACATGCCTAAGCATTTCTTTTTTAAGATACTGCATGTGCTGCTGTTGCTCGTAGGTAAATATATTTCTGCTTTACATACCAAAAGTATTTTTCAGGATGATGAAAAATGATCTTGAGTTTTTTCAAAGTCTCTTTCAGCATTGTGGTTTGGGTGCTATTTCACCCCCATATTGCAAATGCTCTCATCAAGCTTCTTTCTTCATTATCCAATGTAAACTATTGTGAAGATTAAAAAAAAAAGCCCTGTAGGCAATTCCAAAGTTAATGGTTCATTTTAATAACTAATTTTAAATTGAACTTGGCTATGCAAAATATTCTGTGCAGGATATGAAATCATCAGGATTTATAGTGATGTAGGCTGGAAAGAGACTGAGTTGCACGTATTCAGAGAAATTGTTTCAGATAGTCCAAAAATTGTTGCACAAATGGTTTCTGAATAAATAGGCAGACTTATCTGAAATAAAAGCATCTCTGCATTTTATTTATCTCTTAGATTTATTTGCTGTTTTATACAAAACTAGCTTGGGCAGGATATGCGTCAACTTTATGATGTCGAAAGAGTAACCTTATTTATGGTTGCCTTTTGTCAGGCCATTTATCTGAGCAGATAATTTTGGCAGGATTCCATCCTGAGGAGCTCTCCTACTGTTGCATTGGATTGCATTCACTGTTGCATTGTGTTGCATTCAGTGCTCTTTAAGTAACAGCAGCAAAAGGGTAATGTACTTTTATTTCCCTAACAGCCACATATTAAGGTCAATTTTACTTGACAAATGAAAAATCTCTTTTAACATGACAGGAAATGAGAAAATGCATATTGGGTATCTTCATTATACAGCAAAGATGTTTTGAAATCTTGGAATCAGCTGTGTATGCAACTTTTTATAGCATGATGGAAGATGAAGTCAGGAGTATCCTGGGGAAAATTCTTAGATTTCTGTCTTCAAAAGTAACATATGTCTTGTTATTAAAAAACCCTTTTGTATCTGTGCTTATTAATGCCATTAATAAAATTGAAAGGTCAGCTCCAGGAGCTTGGATGCTAAGCTATACTTGGTAAAATGCAGTTCCTGAAAGGATGTTAGGAGTCATTTAGAGATAGGTTTTTGGGATGTTTTTGGGTTTTTTTAAATTTTATTTTTTTTAAATTCAATTCTCAGTTTTCTGCATAAACTGAGCACATCTAATAGATTTGATTGGTGGGCTCAGGCAGATGGATCTGTGTCAGGTCACTATTAGCAGACCATGATGCCATCTTTGTTCTGATATAGCATCTTAAGCCACTAACAAAATTCTGGGCTCATCCTCTACTTTGTGATGTAGAGGTGACACATGCAGACATTTGTTCCTGTTGTTTCTGTCACCGGATGACAATTTCTGGTGGTAGAGCTGACACTTGGGTCTGTAGTGCTATAAACAACTATTTTTATGCCAGATCCCCAAGAGTTCTCCACAGTACATGGGCTTTGAGGACTTCGGTTGCAATTTTGTGAATTATAGCTTATTTTTCAGTAAACTGTTAATGGTGGGTTGTTAATCACGGAAGGGGAGTTCAGCTAAACTGCATCCTTCACTGAAGCCATGATTTGATGTCCTAAAATTCTGAAAGATAAACTTCTGTTTTATCTTAGTGTATCTAAAAAAGAGGCCTTAAAAATGCATGTCTCTGTGTTCAGTCAGGCTGTGTTTTGGGTGGCATTTTCTTGCAAAAATAAAGTATTCTGTGTATCTATGTAATTGTTAGAAAGTGAGACTCTTGGATTAAATGAAGACTGATGGAAAAAGATGAATCTGTAGGAAGTTTGTTAGGGCAGGATCACTGCAGAGAATGGTGTCCAAAGAGGAGAACCCTAAATCTCATCAGTGACAGCAGAATTTCTCCCACTAATTGCTCTCAGCCATGCTGTGTTATATGATAGACCCTTAGTAAGTGTTTATTCAGGTTTTTGGCTTGTTTTTAAGTTGTGTCCTGTGGTTTTTAACTAAATGTTTTTTGGGTTTTTTTTATGAGCTTGTAAAAGCCAGAAGATCACTTGGAAATCAACCAGACAATTTCAGTGCACTTCATCTGTAATTGATACTTTAGATGTTGATCATTTAAGATATAATATTTGTGATAATTCACTGAGCTATTTTCATCATGTCTTTCAGATTTATCTTTTCATGTATTTATATGGATTAGTTGTACATAGTCAGATGTATAGGGTTAGGGAAGTTTGATACACTGGCTAAATGCATCTTCTAATAAATCTTAACATAATGGTAATCATGCTCTGAGTTTCAGAAATATTTGAGTGACTATACCATATTTCTTTCTGTGCAATTTTTTATGATCTTTCAAAGGCTTTTATTTTTTTAACAAGCATTAAATTTAAAATTATGTTTAAGATAAGGTTTGTAATGCAAACCTTCCATATCCATGTTTCTGAAAGCCTTGCTCGATTCAGCATAGCACTTTTGTTGTCATAAGTAATTTCCCATTTGGGTGTAAAAATAGGTCTGTGAGAGATTATGCTCTTTCCAGTGGCATATATGATAGGTGAAAGGCAAAGCTGGGAATGGAAATAGATCCAGAGTTCTTGTGGCCCCCTTTGTAGGTTAAAAGTGTAAAGGTATCAGATTTAATGAGTCTGTATTACAAGTAGGCTGTTATTTTCTAGTTAATTATAATTAAAATTAGAGGATTCACTATTTCAAGGAGACACATTGAGTCATTTATCTAGTTCTTAAGTTATTAATTCTTTGCATTCCAGTGTATGAAAAACTTTAAAATTGATTAAAGGTGAGCCTTAAAAAAAGAAGTCCAAAGAAAAACAGATGGTCCTTTCTTCCTGGAACTGTAGCTTTGGCTTGATGAATTGTGTGCAGTAAAGTTTTCAAAAAGAGATATTACGTTTCAGTAATCTCAATTTCAGAAACATTCTTGCAGCATTTCAGTACATCTTGCCAAAGCTGGTGTCTCCAGGGAGCACTACTCTGCTCTTGGCTGTTGCTGCAGTTTCTCATCTGACATCATCAGAAGCTACTGACACATTCTGCAGTATCAGTTTTCAAGGAGAATTTCTAATGGCATTGACAGTTTCCTGCATGGTCTGACATGATAGGACTTCTCTACAGCACTTGTAATAGATAGGAGCAATTAATATTCTCATCTATTCTCAATTAATTAGGAGTAGTTTGGGAAGTGATACAGATTATGGTGCAGTCATGTTCAGAATGTGCTATGGAACACATACTGTTGCAGTAGGTACCAAGGAACATGCAAGGTAGTGTGGGATGACCTGATAATGACTAGGAGATGGTTTTCATTTTTTTCTCAACAGTTTCATTTGTGGAAGTCTTCTTGTGATAACGAGTAAGACTTCACTGGAAATAGTTATGTGTTTTAATGATGGACGGTTTGGTTGTGTTGGATGAACTTACAGTAATATTTGAATTTTAATGGTTAAATGTGCCTCAATGTGTATGTGAAAAATAAATTGAAATTTGGGGATAATTTGAGCGCTGTCAGATGAATTTATTGAAAAGTTAGGGAGGGTAACCAGAGGGACTAATGTCAGATCATGGTTGCCACATGAGATAATATTAATTCAAGTTTTGCTTAGTGCAGATGGAAAAGATAAATACCATCATAATTCAGTGTACAAATGTAAAGTATGCAGGTGTTGCAGGGACCATTAGTGGACATATCTTGAAGACTTCCCTGTTTTGAAAAGGTCACTAAGGCTGCTAAAGGAGGGAATTATAGTTGAAGCAGACTGGACAGGAACAGGTAAGGAAAGGACAAGATGACAAAGAAAAAAGAGGAGAATAAGCAAAGCTGACAAGCCTGGAGTAGTTAGGAGCAGAGATAACTGAGTAACTCTGTCCAGATCTTCATCTCTGGATTCAAGTTATTCCATGGCTAACATTACTCTCAGAGAAGACTGCAAGATGTTGGAGCTTTTTAGTTGTTGTTTTTCACTCATCTGTTCACTCACATGTTGTAGCTCACAAAGGCTCAAGTTGAATGCCAGGGGGGAAAAAAGAGGACGCTTGCTCTATTTCAGCACTGGGCTCAGCCCCACCAATCTTCTACTACACGTCAGTTGATCCATTATAGCTGTCCAAGTGTGTGAGCCTCGCCTGAAGCAAGCTCAAAGTAATTTGAGTCATCTTGTTTTTCAATGAAGCAGGGCAAAACAACTCAAATTATCCTGCCTTTGCCACAGGCTAAGAGCATACACACCGACAGCTATGATGGATCAGCTACCATGAAGTAAAATATTGTTGTCACTAAGCCTAGAAAATTTTAACACTTAACTCAATTGGAATATAGCTAAAGCAGTGCACTGTGGAGGATCTGTACACATTTGTATTGGCATGGAAATGTTTGTGCTGCCACAGCTACTTCCATAGGTAGGGATGGAAATGCTTCAGCATAAAGCTTCTTTGCTCAGGCAAAAGCAGATCTATAGCTGGATTTACATTAAAATTCTTACCAACAGAGTGTATTATTAAAAAAAATAAAACTGTAACCTACTGAACTTTCTAGTACAGTTCCTGTGTCAAGTATCTTACATTAAAATAGGCTGAGTGTTTTGAGAAGCTGTGATGTTTTGTCTTCTAGCAATTCAATTATGGGCTGCCAGACTTAATTACCATAGAGTTGTTAACCTACGTGATTTTGAAAGTAGAAGTTGAAAAGCATGCTCTCTAATGGCAAGCAGAATTGCTATTCTACCAGCTATTTCTGGTGGAGACTCTCTTGAAGAAATTTTAAGTGTGAATGAAGGATTGTTACTTTGCAGCAGAAATGCAGCTTAAGTTGGCTGTAACCTCA